ATACAGAAGTCATCTGCATATTGTATTGTATTAAATGAGATTTTTTCGATACTAATATTATGAAAATCGGCTGTGTAAAGATTAAATAGAAGTGGACTTAAAACTGAGCCCTGTGGAAGACCCGAACTATTAAAACGTGGTCCAATGAGTTGATTGTTTTCCTTCCTAATATATATTTTCCTGTTTAAGTAGAAATTTACAATATTTTGAGTTAGCAGGGAAGGTATTTGAAATTGGTGAATCATCTTTTCTTTTAGTATATCTAAATTAACACTGTCATATGCACCTTCAATATCCAAACATAAAAGTGGTACATACGTATTGCGAGAATATGCATTTTGAATGTGAGTTACTACGGTAGCGAGTGCATCCAAAGTACCACATCCTTGTCTATAACCGAACTGAGAATTTGGAAGTAGTTTTTTCTCACTTATCCACCATTCGAGTCTTACTTTTAGTATCCTTTCTAATACTTTGAAAACACAAGACATAAGTGAAATTGGTCTGTATGATTTTGAGAGATTCGGATCCTTCATTGGCTTTAAAATTGGGATGACAATAACTTCTTTAAATTCATCCGTACCTGCAGAGAGAACTTCGTTAAATATTTCCAATAAGAGATCTTTAGCGGTTGGAGGAAGCATATCAAGCATAGGATACTTAATGTGGTCATAACCGGGACTTGTGCTAGGACGATTATTTAAAACATAGCTTAGTTCTGTCTATTTAATCGGTTGAAGTAAAAAATGGCTTTTGTCGGTCACTATTTTACTAGGTTTATTAGGCATAGATATCACTGTTGGAGGAGCAATTATGTCAAAAAACCCTTCTATCCAAATATCTTCAAAAGATTTTTTTTTTGTAGGTGATTTTCTGTATAACTTTCTAGCTTGCGTCCAAAGTACTGATGATGGTATTGATTTATTGAGAGAAGAAACCCAATTCACCCAGCTTTGTTTCGCAATACTTTTTAGTTGTTTTTTTGTACTTGCCATGTTTGATTGGCATTTTATATAGTTCTCAAAATTACGTTCTTTTTTATAATTCGTGAGTGAAAATTGCCGGTTTTTAATAATCGTGTCACATTCAGAATTCCACCACGGTGGAGGGTTTCGAGTTTTTGGCCTAAAAGGTTTATATTGTGGTATTGCAATGTGAGCAGCATAATTTATACCATTCATTAAATGTTTATATTTGCTTGATGTGTTTTTTGGAATTTCAGTATTTTGATTCAAAAAGTTTTGTACTAAAGAAGTATATAAAGGCCAATTAGCTTTTTTGATGTTCCATTTATTTTTCGGTAATATTTTTTCTGTTTCGGCTTTAATGCAAATATCCACCTGTATAACAAAATGATTTGATCCTAGTGTGTCTGAAGAGATAGACCATTCAGTCTTACTAACAAGATCAGGACTGCAGAAAGTAACATCAATCATTGAGTAATTCTGGTTAGGTTGAGTTAGTATTGTTGGTTGTCCATTATTTAAAACTGTAAATTCAAGATCATCTGCCATTTTAATCAGCTGTACTCCGATTCCATCATTTGTACTTGAACCCCAAATAGTATGATGGGCATTAAAATCACCTCCTATAATAACTGGTTTTTGTAACTGGGAAAATATATTTATCCAATCATTTATTGTGCATCTTATTTTCGGGGCTCTATATAGTGACATAAAACTAATTTGATTATTCCCATATTTAATTTTTATAGCACATAACTGTATTTCATTATTGTAATTATTATTGTTAATTTTTAGTTCAGTAAAACAAATTGATTTATTTATAAGTATAGCAACTCCACCATAACCATCCAACCTATCATTACGAACAAGATTATACCCATTAAAATCATATATTACATTTTTTTTAAACCATGTTTCACTAATAAGAGCTATGTCTATTTTGTTAGTTACTAAATAATGCATCATGCTATTTTTATTTGAGACAGCAGATCGAGCATTCCACTGTATTATTTTTAACTTAGGTTGACAAGACATTTTTTATTTAGTATTAATCAAAGTACCCTCCAATACCTGTTCAATATTATTGACTATTACTTGTCTATCTAGAGACCGTATATCATCAAAAGTTTGTATACTTTGTAAAAGCTGATATATAAAAGTTGAAAGACTTTCAGTTACATTTCTTTTAATTTCAATGTTTTCATAATTTGGTACAATTCGATTAACAGGTAAGGGTTTCTCAGGTCCAAAAACAAAAGGAAACATTGGTTTCTCAGTAGACGACTGTGCAACTGGTGAATTAACTTTTCTTTTTTTATGTGTTTGAGATTTAGTGATGTTTAAATCAGTGTGAGTAAAAGCAGAATTTGGCTTGTGTGAAACTGGTTTAGATATCGGAATATTTTTGCTAGTTGTAGGCAAACTAGGAAAATCCTTTTCATATTCTGCTAAGCATTCAAAGGAATTGTTAGTTACAAAATTTGAAAAGGACTTTTCACAGTAATTACGTGCTTCTACAAATGATACGTTATGTTCAGCCATTACATTTTTAATTTTTTTCTGTTTTTCATATTGGGGGCATTTATTGGATATTGACAGATGTTTCCTACTTTTACAATGAATACAAAATACATTTTCTATATTACAATTATGATCTTTTTCTTTAATTTCACTACATTGAATACACCGTTCTTGTGTACTTTTACACTGTTTGGATACATGTCCAAATCTAAGACATTTATAACATTGAACGACTTTTCCAATATACTGTGCAACAGGACAAAATACCTTATTAAAAGAAACATAATTCGGCAGAACGTTGCCTTCAAATGTGATAATTATTGTCTTTTTATCTATGTATTCAACTTTATTATCATTATTAACTTTACGTTTAGTTCTATATATATTAATAACTTTAGAAGATGACTCTATAGTATTTATTAAATAATCTACATCATACTGAGTATCCACGTCCCGTACTAAACCCTTGACTTCCAACAAATGATTAGGTATGTACGCCTTAAGATTTTCCAATTTTAGAGCTTGATTATTTACTAAATTATTGGCTTCCAATAAAGACTTTAATAAAACCTTGATACGATTTCTACCTATGCTTTTAATTTCTAAAATATTTGTTAGTTTTAATTTTTTGAATAATATGTGACCAACTGTCATCGGATGTAATCTACCTAAATTTTCAACATTTACTTTTTCAATATAGACCCAAATATTTTTAATATTGTACTTATCTGAGCGTAAATTGAAGGTCTTCTTTTCCGGTTCCATGATAGAAGCTCCTACACTGTTGACATTTTTTATGGTCATGCTTTGGTTATCAGTTATGTTTAAATGTTCTTCACTATTATCTATTAACATTTGCGTCAACGAAGACGTCCCTGCACTACTGTCCCCCATTGGGGGAACAAAATAAAAGTTTTCAACCGTAAAACACTTAGATTATTTAACTATACGGTCAAAACTAAAATATTAATTATACATAAAAAGTAAATCACAATACTAATTAGAAATCCGGCTCGTTTATTATGTTTTTTGCACTTAAATTTTTAAATCAATACTGTTTAAAATTATTAAAAACTATAATTTTTATCGGAGAACTTTTAAATTCAAATTTTCACTTTGACAGTTATTTGACGTATGAAGATTATGAATTAGTTGACATTTTAACAAAGAATATAGACGCTTATAAGCGTCTATATTCTTTGATTTTAATACCAATTTGTCTGGCATTTGGCTAGCAGATGGCGCAGGCTTAGAATAATTGAATTGCTTTTTTCTGAATTATTTAATCTCAAAACAACTAAATAGCCGACTCTACAAACGATTTGTTAGTTTTATAATAAACTAAAAATTATTTGCCATCTACTACATTAGTTTTTATTAAAAAATGTAATAAATGAGTTTTGTTTAAGTTTAATACCATCGAGCAAAAAGACAATAGAGGGAATGTAAAGGTAGTGGGGGCAAACATATTGTTAGACAGGAAGTGCGACCTTTAGAGGCCACATTAAACAAGGAAAGAGAGTCTCTCTCCTTGTTTGACATCAAATTTAGTTGGGTTATGTTATTGTTTGTCCCAAATGTCACATGAAATCTTATTTATATTGAAGTTTTTTAACAATTGTGTCGCATTTTAGAGTCTTATCATTAATAATTAATTAAAACTTTCTCGTCTAAGACAGATTCTGCGAAATATTATATAGCTACTGTTGATAAGTGTCGGAAAATTTAAATTTGGCGCATTCGCATTTCCGGATATGTCCGCCATCAGAGGCCACTTTTTTGGTCTCCTTTTCATAAGGATTAGATTCCCTCTTTTGTCTTATTGCTCGATGTTTAATACTAACCACTTAGTTTGGCATTCGGCTAGCGGATGGCGCAGAATAATTTAATTGTTATTGTTCAAATTATTTAATCCTAAAAACAACTAAAGAGCTACAAACGATTTGTTAGTTTTATAATAACCTACAAACAATTTCTTATCTATTACATTAGCTTTTATCTAAAAAGTAGGTAATTTTCATTTTATATCGGCTAGCGTCAAGCCCAAAAATCATTAATTGTAAACTAATTAATTGGCCTACAAAAAACTGTGCCTATTACAATAATCTACAATCGTTTGCATATGCTCATTATCTCATTATTCTTATACTAATATTAATATTATATTATTTATCTATGCTAATATTTTGTCGGCCCACCACATGCAGGTTTCAAAATTTGCCTCCTTTGAAATTAGGTTGAAGGAAATCAGCTGATTGGAGTGTGTGTGTATTGGATTGGTATTGTGTATTTGTAAATTTGTATTTATGTTATTTACTGTTATTGTAATTGTTTATGTCTGGCAAATTCACAATAGGTTACCTATTATTATAATACTAATACTTTCACGCTTCCCGTTAAATTAAGTGTATGAAGATATTTATTTTGTGCTATAGTTGTATAATAATAAGTTGTACAAATTGGATACAGTTCATATTTTAATTTTTTTGCCTATCTCTACTTTATTTTTAAGTCATGGAAACTGCAGAGGGGTGTAAAAATGCTCTTTCTTTGGAACAAATAGATATCAAACAAGAAATAAAAGATTTTAAAGTTGAAATTAAAGTAGAAGGCCAGCAATATGATGTGGGTTTAGAACAAGAACTGGCACAAGGACAATTAACTGCAACAATTGAAATTGAGGATTTGAAGAAGGAACCTGACAACAAAAACTTAGGTGAGACAAGATATAATTGTGTGTTATCACTAATAACCAACCAATTAATAGGTAATAGCATTTTGTAAAAGATTAAAAAGTTATTGGTTGGATTTGTAAAAATTGAACTAATTAAAAATTTTCTAGATTGTGTGAGTGTTTACTGCAGAAATGGATTTTTAAACATTATCCCAATACATGATCATTCACTTATATTCAATTAGTTTAGAGCACTCAACATATCAAATACATTTTCCTCTTGGCACCTGGTCATAGTGTTGCCATATTTTTTTTGTAAAATATGGGGCAGTAGGCAATTGACCAGGGCCAATGACGTATAATATATAGACCCGGTGAACGCTTTAAAAACGTATGAAAACATTTTCTCCATTTTGTGTGTTTACATATTTTATGTGACAAGCAAATTTTATTTTAAATTGTTGAGAGTTATTTACTTACTATTTTAGTAAAATGCCATACTATTTTATCAAAATAATTATTTCTCTTATAGACGGGAACAAAAAGAAATCATAAATATTTAATTTTAATTAAAAAAATAATTATTCTCATTAACATTTAAATGAGCATGCCGCTGTTCTGGTAAACATACCTTCAACCTTGAGCAGAGATCTTTCGGACACTAGATTATATAGCGAGAATAGGGGACCGCTTAGTCTATATATTATACATCATTGGCCAGTGCACTACTACATAACCAAGCTTTTATATGACATTTAACATGCTTAAATGGTGTCAGAGTTGCCCAGTCTCCAGTTTTTTCATACTCTCACATAATATTATAAAAATGCATTGAAATTATATAAAAAATCATAGATTTTAATTAAATTAAAGATAATAATTAAATGCCTATACAATAAAATTGATTAAAATGATATAAACAATTAACAGTATTAATTAAATTACTATATATAACAGAAATGCATTGAAATTATATAAAAATTCATAGATTTTATCTAACTAAGTAACACCTAATAATAAGGTCCTAATAGATAAGGTTTTGAAAGTGCCAATTTACAACATTTAACTGCATTTAAAGTAACAGAAAATATTTGTTTTATACTTATTTAAAACTTGTAGCTTGTCATAATACAAATTATAATTTATCTAACTTTGTCCATACAGTTCACAACAACATAGTATCCAATTTGTTCCCTCTGCAGTACATTACTCAACCAACATTTTACATTTTCTCTTTCCTATATTAATATTTTCATTAATTCTTTTTCAGCTTCATTTATATTCATTTTACCATACTTCACAATAGGGTAATACTATATTAACACTATCAAAAACTATAATATAATAATAGTTAGAATATCATATTCTGTTATCATATCTCATAAAACTTTTTAATGGGCTTATTCATTTTACTAATTGAATTTTTAAACTCCCAGAGAATTACACAACAGGTCCCTTACCGTTGCTAGGCAACCACCATTACCCAATCAAAAAAATATTTTTTTACTTCCATTTCGTTGGATTTCGACTTAATCTTTAGTATATACTAATTTTTATACTCTTTCTACAATATTATGTGGATAGTACCACATCACTTTCTTTTATTTTCTACCTTTTATCATTTTTCATACCACTTATGATGTCATAAATTCAATGTTAAACATTTATTCCACTAATTTAATAATCATTTTAACAAAGTTAATTTTAAGTACAGGATCATTAATAAGATATTAGGTATTATTACAACAAAATAAATTTTATAATTTTTATAATTAAAAAATTACATTAGTTTCTGAACACACCTATACCTAGTCATGTTCAGCTGTGTTCCTAAATTATATTTCTGTCACCTCAGCCAGTTGGTCTGTGTCATTTTAACTGACAAGTACCACATGTTAAAAATCGAGTAGAGAGACATGTAGTCCCTAAAGTAATAAACTTTATCCAATGTCATCGACCTAGAGTCACTACATAATTAAAATTTGGAATGATGTAAACCTATATATGGATGTCACAGCCACAACTTTATTGTTAGCTTTAACTACATAAGGCACTGAGGATGATCTGTTGAGATCGAAAATGTTATGCTACTACATAAATTTTGACGACACTTTTTTAAAAAGTTTTAACTATATGTTTTTATACCAAAATACAAGTGTTTTAACTTCTGTATGTTTTTTTAAACGATGGTATACAGCCAACTACTGGGATTTTCCCATTAATTTTTAGAAAATGTATTGTCAAATTGATCAGATAATGATTCTTCTTCTTCTTGTAGTGCCTATCCGTTTCAGATGTTGGCGACCATCATGGCAATCTGCACTTTGCACACTGCTGCTCTAAAAAGATTTGTGGTTGTGTTGAACCACGTTCGTAGATTTTTCAGCCAGGAAATCCTTCGCCTTCCTGGTCCCCGTTTTCCTTCTACTTTTCCCTGCAAGATTAGTTGCAGCAGTCCATATCTTTCGCTGTTCCTCATGATGTGACCGAGATATTCGATTTTGGCCGTTTTTATTGTAGTTAACAGCTCTTTTCCTTTTTTCATTCTCAACAGAACACCCTCATTAGTAACGTGGTCGGTATAGGATATCTTCAGGATGAGACGATAAAGCCACATTTCAAAAGCCTCAATTTTCTTGCAGGTGGCGTCTGTGAGAGTCCATGACTCAACTCCGTACAACAGTATAGGAAAGATGTAGCATCGTAGTAACCTGATTTTTATGGGCATTGATAAATCATGACATTTGAATAACTTAGCCATTTTTTGAAATGCAGATCTTGCTTTCTCTATTCTACATTTGATTTCTATGAAATGGTCCCAATTTTCATTGACGTTCGTACCAAGGTAGGTGTATGTTTTTACTCTTTCTATTTGTTGACCGTTTACACTGATTTGTCCAAATTGCTGTTCCTTCTTAGAGATCATCATGCATTTTGTTTTCTTAGTGTTTAGTGAAAGTCCGTATCTCTGACTGACCTCTGTGATATTCTGTTCATTAACTCCTGGAGGGTTTCAGAACTGTCAGCGAATACTACCGTGTCGTCCGCGTATCTAATGGTATTGATAGATTCTCCGTTGATTCGAATTCCGGCTTCAACATCACCCACTGCTTCTTGAAAGATTTCCTCAGAGTATATGTTAAACAGCAGTGGTGATAGTATACATCCCTGACGGACGCCACGTTTGATTTTGATATCGTCGGATTCTCCTGCCTCTGTTCGGGTAGATGATGTTTGATTCCAGTACAGATTGCTGACAATTCTTAAATCACAGGTGTTTATTCCAATATTGGTTAATATCTCCATCAGCTTGTCGTGCTTTACTGTATCGAACGCTTTATGGTAGTCAATGAAGCACGCATAAATGTCGCAGTTCACGTCTCTAAATCGTTGAAATAACAAAAAAGATAATGATTAATCAACGAAAAAAATTCAATAAAATATGTATAAAGTCAATAAAATATGTAAAAACGTTTAGAGGTGCGTGTGCAGATTCAGATAACTACATGGTCACAGCCACTATAAGACAAAAAGTTAAAATTGAAACAAAACAGAAAAACCAACATAAAAAGTGGAATGTCAATAAAATGAGTAATGAAGAAGTAAGAAAAAATGTGAAGAGGCAGTAACAGTTCAAATAAAAGAGAAATATAAAACAGAAGGTATAAACACAGAATGGGAGACGATTAAAAAATCAATAGAAGGTGCAAATTTGCAGATAGGTGAAAGTCAGGCTAAAACAAAAAACCGATGGTGTAACCAAGAATGTAGAGAAATAACAGGAAAAAAGTGCAAGCCAGAAATAAATGGCTAAGAACGGATAAAGAGGAAGACAGACCAGAATATGAAAAATTATAAAGGAATGCTAAGAAAGTGATAAGGCAAAATAAAAGAAGATGGGTAGACGAAAAAATGCAGGAAATAGAGCAGGAAAGAACAAACAGAACTACGAAAAAATTTTACAAAAAGATTAAAGAAAAAAACAGAAAATACAAAGGCAAAACAAAGGGAATAACAAATAGAGAGGGAACGGTGATAATAGAGTATCAAGAATACAAGCAAGTATGGAAGGATTACTACAGAGAGCTCTTGACGGAGGAAGCAACAGGAAAAGAATGCATAACGAGGAGGAAACGGTGCACGAAGAAGAAGCAGACGAAGTAGATGATATGGACATCGAAATTTCAAAAGAACCAACATTAGAGGAATTGGATGAAGTAATACAGAGAAGCAAAAATAGAAAAGCCTCTGGTAAAGATATAATTAATATGGAACTAATAAAATACGGAGGAAGGGAACTAAGAGGAAAAATACTGGCACTATTGAAAAATATATGGAAAGAAGAGAACATGCCAGGGGTCTGGGAGGTAGGGCAGATCATAACAATACATGAAAAGGAAGACCAACAAATCTGTAAAAATTAAGAGGAATATAAATTATTAAATACAACATATAAAATGTTGACATCAATAATAAAAAGGAGGTTATCAAAGATCACAAAGAAGACAGTAGGACAGCACCAATGTGGATTCACAGAAGAAATATTTACAATAGGTGCAATACACACAATAAAACAAATGATGGAAGAAGCAAATGAATATAAATTAGAATTGGAAATGTTATTCATAGACTTCAAACAGGTATTAGATTTAATTAAAAGGAACGGATTAATGATAGCACTTACAAAAGTAAGCACTAACACTAACAGAGAACTACAAAAATAAGCACTAAGAGGAGAGACAGAAGTATTCAGTATAAATAATGGGATGAAACAAGGAGATGCTTATCAACAACATTATTTAATTTAGCATTAGAATATGTACTTCGAAAGATAAATAAAGGAACTATCAAAACAAGAGGTGGTCAAATAATTGCATATGCAGACGATATTCCTATTATTACAAAGAACAGGAAAATATTGAAAAAAAATGTTAAGAAGAAATAAGAGAAAGGGGAGGTAATGGGACTAAGTTTAAATCAAGAAAAGACAATATTAAGATTAGGGGAAAAGCCAGTGAAAGAAAAAATCAAAATAGAAGTTCTGAGAAAGGAAGTTCTGAGAAATCCGGAGAAAGGAAGTCCGAAATAAAAGAAAAAATATTAGCAGCGAAAAACTTATTTTGCAAACAAAAGATTAAGTACTTAAAAGCAAAACACTGACTAACAAAACTAAGATGAACATTTATAATACCATAATTAGGCCAATATTATTATATGCAGGAGAAACAATGACGATGGTTAAAAAAGATGAAGAAGATTTAAGAATAGCAGAGAGAAAATTATGACAACCATATTAGGACCAATCAGAACAGAGCAAAATGAATATAGAAGCAGAACAAATGCAGAGATTAACGAAGAACTTAAGGAAAACATCGTAACTAAAATAAAGCAATGCAGAGTTACATGGTTAGATTACATTGGGCGAGCAGGAGATGAAGTTAAGAGGTTAAGAACTACAAGAAGTTAAAGAAGACCTCCAAAGGGCAGGAGTCATAGAATGGAGAGGAAAACCTAGAGACAGAAAAAAATGGAGAGATATTGTCAAGAAGATAACATAAACAAAAGAGACTGATGCACTAAAGAAATAGGATCTAGAAAGCATTCAAAGCTGGGGTGTATAGCCATTATATATATATATATATATATATATATATATATATATATATATATATATATATATATATATATATATATCTGTACCGTAGAGGTAAACGGTAGTATATCCATCGAGTGAAGTTTTGAGATAATGGAAATATAAGATGAGTTAAAGAAAATTATTGCAATCATTCTTAATCTGAAGACATATGAAATTATGTATTTATATAATTGTAACGTTATATATTAATTAATCAATATTGTCCTACTGTGAGAAAAAATTTGTTTATATATTGGATAATATTGGGACTTAAGGTCTTTTGCCTCGGCATGTACCATCAGATAAAACAGTGTACAAAATAGTAAGTGCCTACATAAACAAACAAAAACACAAAAAATGTTAAAAAAACATTTATTCATTATCGCTATTAACATTTTTTTTTTTTTTGGTAAGAACTCAATTTCTATATATGTGTTTCTCATATATCATAACTATTATATGGTAACATTTTTTTTATTATTAATATATTAAATATTTCTAATTCCTTTTACCCCCGTGCGATACGCCTATGATCGTGTATCGATAGCAAAATATTGTAGATACCGAGCTAAAATGGAATTCCCTAATTAGGAATGGTTTTTAATCCTTCCGTCATAATATTCATTATGAAAAGGGTATAATGCGTTTTGGTATGCAGTTTACTTTTCACAAATTGGTAATTTTCGTCGAAGGCCCGTTTCTTTTGACAATAACTTAATCCCAAGTATTGTCTGTTTCTTATGTCCAATTGTTAATACCGATTATTTTACCTCAAATTTTCCAATAGTCGTCAAGGCCTTACCTTCTGATACACACATACAACTGTCCTATCATTCTTGAGTGGGGGATATAGCTTCTTCTTCTTTTTTCTTGGATAGTTGGTGAAAATTTTAGTGGAACCAATTTACTTCTCGGTGGGCTCTTGTTGAGTGAGGTAATATCTCGTGTTACTTGTTGGTGGGCCGTTGTTGAGTTAAGGCCAATATCTCGTGTTACGCTTTGCTCACTTTATTTCTTATCGTATCGTCTTTTTGAATTATTTTCTAAGTGTGTATACACTTTATATTTGAGTTTTCTTTCCTTAGACTATATTAAATTATATATAGTTCTACACTACCTTTAATGGTTATTAAATTCAGTGTTTAGTACCAGAAAAGTATTAAATTCAGTGAATTAAGCTGCCTTCGTCAAGATCTACTGTAAGTAATTTTATCTACAATTATCTGGGCGAGTAATATGGTATGGTACCATATCACCTGCCATTATCTGGACGTATCATCTATATCTTCACCTGAAGATTGCCGATTTTTGAATGTAATTGAACCATTCAAGAAATTTCTATAAATATTACCTATGAACATACAAGTCTCAGTTTTTTATTAAATAATAGTGCGAGATAGTTAATTGACTTAGCCAAGTGCGGTTTGGTTTATGTTTTCATTCTTGTAACCTTTTTGTTTTTTTTTTTTGTAAATTTAGAGTTAAGTAATTTTTGCTATCTTTTGTATTTCCTATAATTTTTGTTCATTATCTTTCCTATGATATCTCGAGATACGCCAAACTATATTTGTATATGATTGCCTTATACATCTTGGTAAAGGTATTTTTTTATTACATTATAGCTTAAGTTTATACATATGTAACACCATTTCATAGTTGTGTATTTTTATTACCTGGGTTGCATTTAGCAGCATCATAATTTTGTGTTTAATATATTGTTATTGTTTTATGCATGTATTTTATTTGTCGGCTCCTAACAAGTTCCCTGATAAAATAATAGCTCTGAACAATTACTATCTTTAAATATTACTATGCTTTTGACCAGTAGAAAGATCAGACTGATTAAGTTTCGTAGGTAAGTAAGTGTAATACCTAATATATTTTTTATTTGTTTATATATTGCGTTGACCAGATTTATTTGATAATTTACTGTTGGTATCTTTCCTTGGGTTTGATCTCTGAACCTAAATATCTTTTATCTTTTATCTTTGGTAATTTTAGCCATCTATCTTTTTGTTTATTTCTGTATCTTTTCTAATATCTCTTATCCTATCTTTACCTATTTCTTCCGTTGGATCCATTCCCGGTTCCAAAAGCTAGTTTCGAACCCACGACTCGCTCTCCACCAACCATCTGGCTGCCGTCCGCAGTGTCTCCATTGGTTATCTTTCTAGGACCACCCAAAAAATATTTCCGAGGTTACAATATTATATCATATATCATAATTTTTATTTCACATATATCATAACTCATGAAACTCAAACTCAAACTTTACAAGGGATCCATTGTAAAAGGAGTAGTAAGTGATCCTTTGTCTTCTGTGTGATCCCTTTGGGTTTTTGATATCGTAGTGGTAACTACTCTGGAAGATTGGTCGCAGTTGCTGTTCTTATAGCGACGTGCAATTCTGTGGATCTAATTTCTTCAAAAGCCTCTTTATAAAAAATTATGGTCGGCGTGTCTTTTTTACTTGGAATTGGATTACGTTTGAAATGGAGAAATTATTTTTGTCGGTATTTTTCTTTTTACTGATGAATGGAGATTGAGACTGAGCGTAAAGTACTTCAAAGTTTTTGAAGTCATATTTGCCCATTTTAATTACCTGAGCACATACGGAACTGCTTAATTGTTGCCAATTCCAAGGCGTTACGATCTGCATTATTGGCTGTTTTATTACAAATCTTTCAATTATAGTGTGCACTTGCTCAGCTTCTAAATGAGTGTGTCCTCTCAGTAAATATTTATGGTTAACTACTTTTAAATTAGGGCAGATGGTTCAAAAGCCAAAAGTAGCTCATCATTACCACAACATTGCAGTTTTGTTTAAAGAAATTATCTGACCAAATAATCAATTCTTTCACATCAGTTTGTAATAGAACTGTCATAACCCATTTAGTTAATGTCGAGGAAATTTCAATGCCCCCTCTTTCAGCTTCGGATTTATCCCAGATAAGGCAATACGATTTATTTTCTGTGCGTCGTATATTGTGAAATTTATAGTTTATAATTTCAGCTATTACAAATTTTGGTTATTTGTCAAACAAGGCGTAGACAAGCATTTCTGAAAATCACACATTATAATTTTAGTTTTTCCAGCTGATTGTCTTCTTTCCTTTTTATCGTTTGCTTTCATTTTGTACCGACTTTCTGCTTCTTGAAGATGCTGTTCATAATTTCGGCGTAATGTTATTGTTTCTTGCTCTGAGCAGTTTTTTAATTGTAGCATAAACCGATCGCAACTATCACAAGTGTCCACGGAAACCGATTTAAATGCTAAACTAAAATCAATATTAAAAATTTTTTTATACAGCCATAATTTAACAATTTCATTCTTTGGAATGTTCTTCTTCACACTTAAAGGTATATCATTTGTACATTTTTTCACGGCTTAATTCTGGTCCTATATATTTCTTGGCAGTTTTGGATCGAGAATAACCACTTTCGTAGCACGGAGGAATTCATTTTTGCTTTTATTTTTTATTCTGTTTATTTGTTTGTCTATCTATCACGTAACACGCTCTGCCAATTAAGGTGACTAACACTGGTGTGGAGATACTGCTGTTTACCGCGCGCGAAATAGCGTACCCGATAAACAAATCCGACAGCTCATGGAGTTACTATGCTTTACCTTGTTCTCCAAAGGATATACTACCTTTTCTTATAAGAATATCTAGGCCACCAGTAATACTTCACATACCATCTTTTGCCATAAATAAGATTGGAACATATTAAGCTTAGCCACTATATTAAGTCCAAATTAGAAAAAAATGGAGTTACTACCCTTTACCTCTACGGTACAGATATATATATATATATATATATATATATATATATATATATATATATATATATTATTCTGATCAATATATTTTTCAGAGCCAGTGCCATGGCCCCGTGGCCCTCTAGGACTAGCCGCCACTGCCTGCAAATATATCTTTTTTTACTTTAGGTTCTTTTGTTTGTAATCATTTTGTAGAAAAATTAAAGACAAATGTTTAAATATCTATTTTTATTTTAGGATTTCTCAGCAAGGAGATGAAATTGGAAACTGAGAAAATGGAAAGTTTAAAAGCACAAAATCAAAAATGTGAAGTTGAATCGCAGATGTATCATCCCATACCTTATAATTTAAAAAGGCGTATAAAAGTCCATACTGGTGACAAACTTTATCAATGTGTAATTTGTTCAAGACAGTTTAGTTCGCATAGGTTTTTAAAGTGCCATTTTCGTTCACACACCAAAGAGAAACCGTACAAGTGTGAAATCTGCTCAAAACAGTTTACTGGAGAAGTACTTTTAGAGGATCATATGCGTTTGCACACTCATGAGAAGTACAAATGTCATATTTGTCCAAAAGAGTTTAATCAGAAGTATAATTTAAAATACCATATAAGATCGCATACCGAAAATAATTTGATCGAATGTGATATATGTTACAAGGTTTTTACTAAAAATATTAGTTTAAAATATCATATGCGGTTGCATACTGGCGAAACTCCTTATAAATGTCAAATGTGTTCAAAACAATTTAGTAGGAAATCTTCGCTTACCATACACATGCAATTGCACACTGGAGAGATCTTCAAATGTGAAATTTGTAGAAAACGATTTACTCAGAAGTCTGGTTTAACACGTCATAAGCAATTGCATACTGGACAAAAACCTTACAAATGTGAAATTTGTAGAAAAGGATTTGCTGAGAAGTCATCATTAAAACGTCATATACAACTTCATATTGGCGTGGAAAGTCATAAATGTCAAATTTGTTTTCAGCAGTTTACTCGGAAGCATGCTTTAAAAATGCACATGGAGTTACATACTGGAGTGAAATACAAATGTGAAATTTGTAATAAAGAGTTTACTCTGAAAAGTACTTTAAAACGTCATATAAAATTGCATAATGGTGAGAAACCTCATAAATGTGAAATTTGTTCGCGGCAATTTGCTCACAAGAATAATTTAAAATCTCATATAAAATTACATACTGATGAAAAACCTAATAATGTAAAACTTGTAGAAAGGAATTTACTTCAAAGGTCACATACAATTGTATAGGTACATTTACGATCCACATGAAATTGCATATCTACTGAAAGATAATACAAATGTGAAATTTGTAGAAAGAAATTTACTTCACTCAGAAGAGTATTTTATACGACAATATACAATTGCTTATACCTAAAAATAAACCAACGTTTGATTACACAAAATTAAGAAAAAGAAAAATACATCAAAAAGTGATCCAATAAGTCAACTCAAATCTAAAGGTGGGTACACATATGCTCCGAATGCCGTTTCGAACCCCGTCGCGTTCTTAAGTGTGGACGGAGTCATGCAACCGCGTACCGTACCTCGACGCGTCAACAACGTACATCGAAGCGATCCATCGGTTGTCGGTAAAATACCTACGCATCAAAAGAATTTTGAGTGCGGCAATGTACACCGCGAATTCATGTTTGGACTAGCTTGCGAATCTTTTATCGAATCTCCAGTCATTCAAAATAGTCAGTCTGTTATTTTGAAGGTTGACGGTGTTTTTAAAGTTGAGTGGAAATGGAATGGACGGAAGAAAATAGTTTACTATTAATCGAAAATTATCGGGAAAAGGAGATATTATGGGATACAAATAATCCCAGATACTACAATAAAATAAAAAAAAAACGATGCATGGGAAGAGATTGCTTCTAAAATGGAAATTACAATGGATGAGTGTAAAAAAAATGACCAATCTTCTATCTGGATTACGGAGAGAAAAAGGAAAAATAAAAAAAAGTAAAGGCACAGGAACAGGTGAGTGGTTTATGAATTTTTAAAAATATAAATTTTTTGGGTAGAATTTATTTAAGATATAAACATATAATGTTATTACAAAATGGGGTAGGTACTGTAATTAAAAATCAAATTTATTTCTCTGTATACTAATAACAAACATGTTAGAGACAAGAGAAAAAAAATATAATAAACTAATATAGATTCTTAAGTAACTAGAGTTTCAAATTCAAGTTGAATCTTCAGTAGGTACCTATTAAATAATACTCACTTTATTTTTTTTATTTTACAGGTCGATCAGAACTGTATGAGAGCAGCTGGTTTGCTTATAACAGCATGATTTTTCATTTGGATAAGGATAAAGTTCGAAATACTCAGAACACTGTAAGTATTCTTTATGTTTCTTGTTTTTTTAAAGTCAATAAAATTGTTTACGCGTAATTGTCTTGCCATGGAATTTTACCTTCTTCCTGAAAGAAATTCGCTTATTCATCTCAAATCACTTTAGCATCGGTAGGGGATTTCCTTGGGATGTTTCTCAAAGGTAGAATGGATGACATAGGATCATTAGTTATCGTTCTATATGCTCCTTCCACAACTTTTCCATCTTTTTTGGTATCAAATGTTCCTTTCGGCGTATACAACGAACAGGAGGTTGAGCTTTTACGTAGAAAATTATGTAAATGAGCTATTGTCATTACTATGAGCGCAGCTTTTTCGGGACTTAATGACATAGGCTTTCGAAGTACTCTGAATATTGCTGAAGCAATGCCAAATACATTCTCCACAACTCTACGTGCTCGCGATAACCTATAATTAAAGATTCTCTGAACCGACCCTTTATTATGAAAGCCAGAAAATGGTTTCGTTAGCCTTTCACTTAGAGCAAATGCCTCGTCACCAACGAAAAAATATGTAATTTCGCGTTGTCTTCCATCCAAAGGTTCTGCTTCAGGCAAACTCAAACAATTATTATGCAAGTTGTTGTACAAAGAACAATTCTTGAATATTCCACCATCAGAAATTCTTCCTTGGACACCAGCGTCAACATAGAGAAAATTATAATTAGCATCAACCAATGCAAGCAAGACTATACTAAATGTTGATTTATAATTAAAGTATTCGCTCCCCGTATTCATTGGTGATTGCAATACCACATGTTTGCCATCCAGGGCCCCTAGACAATGAGGAAAATTTCAAGCATCATTATACAGTTTAGCCACGTTTAACCATTTCTCGGGTGTTGTCGGTATCTGCAAAAAACAATTCGTGTAGCAACTTATACAATTTTTTTTAGATGGAGACAATAGGTGAAGTAAATGAGAGTTTCGGAGAAGATATTCCTGAAGATACAACAGCGACTCAGGATACTTTAGAAAGTCAAGAGACTGTGAAAGCTCAGGAAACTGTTCAAAGAACACAAGACAAATTCGCTACTCTAGCCCATACTTCCCGAATCCGAAAGAAAAGAGGTGCTGATGATGAAAAGTTAGACGCCGCATTTGCAGTACTAACGAAGGTTGCAAAAGCCCAAGAATATTCGGATTGTAGTGAATATACGATCTTTGGAAAACTAGTGGCGTCCAAACTAAAAAAGTATTCCAATGCTACAGCGTCAATTGTCCAAGAAAAAATAATGGCTGTTTTATTTCAAGCAGACAGAGGAACCTTTGAACAATATATACAAAGCCCTACTCCCTCAGTACATTTTAACAATTCTTCAATATCTACATATTCCAATCCAATACCTCACTCATCTGAATCCCAATTTTCACCGCAATCCTTTCAAACAACCCCATATTCCACGCCAACATATATACAGTCATAAGCCAATGATTCCAATATAATTTCCCCGACCATGTTCTCTATAGATATGCCCAGTTTGGACTTAAATTAAATTAGTACTGAACATAATTATAAATTAAATTCTAATAAGAATAAATAAGACGTATAATTACCTGAATGTTTTTTTTTCAATCCTTCGACTATAGCTCCACATACTTCCGGAATTATTGCACTTATAGATTGTTTCGAGATTTTGAAAAGGTATTGTAAACTAGTGAAAGAATCTCCAGTCGCCAAAAAACGGATTGTAACAGCTAACCGCTCTTGAACAGAGATAGCTTTTTTCCATTTTGTATCTTTTGGACCTATTTTTGGACCCACTAAAGTGATCAAAAATTCAAAGTGGAAAGGCGACATCCTTGTGAAATTTTTATATAACCCACTGATCGACTAAAATTTTAAATCCAAGAGTAAGTGATTGCCACCATATTTCTCCCTACTTTTATACATTTGTGTTTGCCACCATCTCCTTTCACGAATATTTTTCGTTTTATTAACTGAATAATGCATAAGAATGTAGGCTACTGCAGCAACATCCATCTTGCACATGCGAATTCAACTCAATTACTGCTGGAACGCTAAAATGTTTGGTACAAAGTCGGAGCGGTGTTCGGTTCGTTACTTATTTCAATGCCCCCTGTAACAAGTCGCGAACTTTTGTTGATCGCGTCGCTGTACGGAGCATATGTGTACCCACCTTAACAGAAGTGGGAGAAGAAATCTTAACATCAGAAGATGTCAATGAAAAGTGGAGCAATATTCAGGTGGCATTACTAAAGGCTGCAGAAGAAAATTTAAAGCCTGAAAAGACAAATAAAATACAGAAGTGATGACTTCAGAAATTATACCATTAATGGAAGAGAGGAGAAAAGCCAAAGGGAGAAATGAGTCAAAATATCAAGAAGTACAAAGTAGAATCAAAATAGAAATAAAAAAGGCCGAGAAAAAATGGTTAAGAGATCAATGCATAGAACCAGAAGAGTATGACAGAAAATACGACAGCTTTAATATGCATAAAAAATAAAAGAACTAACAAATACCAAAAAGCGAGCACACTATGGGATACTCAAAGATGATAATGGTAAACTTATTGCAGATATCAAAGATAAACCAAGATTTTGGCAAGAATATTTAAGGAAACTATTCGACGATGATAGAATGATACAACAAGAACCACAGGAACAAACAGGACCGAAAATAATAATGTGCGAATTAGAACAGGCAATTAGAAATGCAAAGACCACACAATTAGTAGGTCCAGATCAGATACCCACTGAGCTAATTAAATGCATTGACGAAGAAACACTGCATATAATTTTAGATATGTTCAACAAAGTATATACAACAGGAGTAATACCCCAAGATTGTTTGCTGACCACGTTTGTAACACTACCAAAGTCAGTACATGCGACAGAATGCTCCAAGTACAGAACAATTTCCTTAATAAGCCACACACTTAAGATATTTCTTAAAATAATACATGGAAGACTATACAAAAAAATAAAAGAAGATATAGATGACACCCAGTTTGGATTCAGAGGAGGACTAGGAACGAGATCTCTATGTCTGTTTTATAGATTATCAAAAGGCTTTTGATAGAGTACGACTTCAGAAACTCGTAAAACTGTTAAAAGAAAAGAATGTGGATAGTCGAGATATACGGGTTATTGTCAATCTGTACTGGAATCAAAAAGCAAAGGTTAGAATCGAAAATGTCGATACAGACACAATAGAAATCAAATGAGGTGTTTAACAGGGTTGCATGCTGTCCCCGTTGTTATTCAATCTGTACAGCAAAGCTATTTTTAAGGAAGCAATATCAGAGGAACAACAGGGTATATCAATAAACGGAAAAATCTTAAACAGCATAAGATTCGCAGACGACACCGCTGTTTTTTGCAGACAGTCTAGAAACATTGCAACACTTAGTAAATAGATTATATCAAGTCAGTATCAAATATGGACTACAAATGAACGTTAAGAAAACCAAGATCATGATTATTTCTAAGCAACATACAGTAGGAAATCTAGATATCGAGGGAAAACAAGCAGAAAGAGTGAATAACTGCAAATATCTGGGAACTTGGGAAAATGAAAACAATGACCAAGGTAGAGAAATAAGGACACGCATAATTGCAAGACAAGAATTTATAAAAATCAAAATTGTCAATCGAGACCTTCCTCTGGATCTGAGGATAAGAGCCTTAAGGTGCTACGTGTTCACGACTTTGTTGTATGGAATGGAAACCTGGTCACTAAAAGTGGATAATATAAAGAAGTTGGAATTATTTGAGATGTGGTGCTTTAGCAGGATTTTGAAAATACCATGGACATAACGACTTACAAATGCAGAAGTGTTTTAAGAAGCCTACAAAAGGATTGCGAGGTCATAAAGCACATCAAAACAAGAAAGCTGGAATTATTAGGCCACTTTACCAGAG